ATAGCCTCTCTAGCAATGTGTTTAGCTTCTTCGCTTGATGATGTGCTGTTTAAAACTTCTAAATGTTGATCGTATAATTTACTTGTTTTAGTAAAAATATCTTTTAATTTGGGATAGTTCTCTAAAAAATTTAAAACTTGTTGTTTTCTGCCCTCTATCATCGAACCACTAAATCTTTTTGTGTTTTGATTAGCTTCTGTAACTAGCTTAAATTTTGCTACAGTCTCACTTAAACTTTCTTCTAACCAAGCATCTAGCATACCGCCACGAATAGTATTTGCGTCGACATTTGTCATACGTGATCTAATAATAGCTTTCTGAAATTCGTCAAATGCAACTTCTTGATAGATTTTCAATGCTCTGTCGACTACTTCCCTTTCATTTGCTGTTAGACTACCACCGACCAATCTATTTTTTAATTCATTTTCAAATTCTTCGGCACTTAACTTATACAATTGTTCTACTAAATTTTCTGCTAGAATGTTGATTTGTTGAGGTGTATATCTACCTGCGGATTGATTAGCAACATCATCTGCAATGATTTGTATTTTATATGGATTAGGAATATCTTTGCGAGGAAACAGCTTCCTATAACCTCTTTGTACTGCTCTGCCTGTACCTGCAAGCAACGCTCCTCCTACAGCTCCCTCTGCTCCACTAACCACTAATTCACTAGTAGAAACAGACTCTTGTAGCCCAAAACTTACGCTTATATTTTGTTGCATTACATTATGTACGCTAGCTATAATACCGCCTATAGTTGCCTCTCTAGCTAGAAAACCTGCTATACCTATTGTTTCTGGTGTTAGTGCTGTAGTAGCCCAAAACATCCCCCAACCGCCCCAATCTGTGGCGAACGATTTTACAAACTCCCAACTTCCTCTCACTGAAAAATCTGTATTTCCATAGGCTTTTGTTAGATATAAATATGCTTCCTTTTCAAATGTTGCCCATGTATCAGGTTGACTACTTAATGTTTTACCTATATCTGTTAAACTATAAAGCTGATCGGCTGCATAACTTTTACCCCAACTAACCGCTTCACTATCACTACCAATAAAATCCTTACCATACAATCTACTGTAAGTAATTTTGCTAGCTTCGATAAATTCATTGTCGCTGAATAATCCATCTTGAGTTGTTTTTGCAGGTATTTTTGATTGATAGGCTACTAGGCTATTGTTTGTTTCAGCTGTATTAACTTCTTCTGCCACGGGTGTAGCAATTACTTTTTCTTCTTCTTCAGGTGTGGCAATAGTCGTTACTTCTTCTTTTTCTTCTTCGGGTGTAGCAATAGTTTCTATTTCATTTGTATTCATGGCGTGGTAGTTGGTGTGGTAGTTGGTGTGGGTGCTGTAAGTGGCTCTTTGCGTCTATACAATTTACCATTGAACCTAAAATATGTGCCTACTGGTAAATCAGATGCTTCACTAACAGAATTCACTTTATAAGGATAACTTGCAGTTCCCTGTATTAAATCGTCGGCAGTTAAGTTAGATTTTTCTATTACTGCATTTCTATCTGTTCGTCTAGTTTGAGTAGCTTTTTCAGATAATTTTTCTAATCTATCTAACTCTCCGCTAACTCTAGTACCTACATTATTTACAATATCTCTCAATGATTTGCCAGTAGGCATGTTGCCATGTTCCTTGTAGTGAGCGTACATATCATTGCTAATAGTATTATAAAAAACAGTACGTAAATGCGGTCTTAAATCACGAGCATGGAAAGGTAAAATAGCATCATCGATATCCATAGCCTCTATCATATCGCTGGCTTTAGTGCTTATATCTGTGAATGTTTGAGCAACAAAAGGAACATTTAACAAATCCGCACCTTTGCTTAAGTTATCTAGTTCGCTTCTCAATCGAGCTTTTTCTTCTGCTCCAATATCATTGCTATTTAAAATTAAATCCATAGCTTCTGTAGGGCTTAAATTGCTTTGAGTACTCTCCATAATTATTCGAGTAGCTAATCTATCAGCATTGAAATTTCTTGTAGTTGAATTGATCGAGCTTCGTATATCCGACGATTTTATTTTTAACGCATACTCTAGTTCCTCTGGACTACCTATATAATTTATAGGATTAACATCGCCAGTCTTTTGTTTTTCAGCTATTATTTTAAATTTATTTTCTAATATTCTGCTTTCTTCTTGTTCTTTTTCTAATTGTTTTTTATGTACTGCATCAGTCCACAATATACTTTTAATAGATTCTACATTTTTATTAGCAATAGCCTGTACGTCAGGGTCTGTAATAATGTTTTTATTAAATTCTGCTAACAAACTAGGGTCGCCTTTACTATAGGCATGTTGAGTTAATGCAGTAACATAACTATTTTGTATTTGTTTTTCATTTAAGCTAGATAATTCACGATATTTTTGTAAAGTTTTCTCTACATCTAGGCTATTATTGCTAGATAAATCACTGAATAATTCACTACCTAGTGCGGTTAATTGCTCTTTTTCTTGAAATTGAGCAGTAGCATTAGCCCAGGAGCTTTCTTGTTGCTGTAGTTTTGCATCAAAAGATTTCAAAGCACCTGAAGTGAAAAAATCATTAATAGGTTGGCTTAATAAATTTTGTCTTACATCATTTGCTCTATTTAATCTACTAGCAGTATCGTAAATATCAGCAGAATTATTGATGTCTTGTATTAAATTATTAGCGATTTCTGTACCACTATTATAGCCACTAGAGTGCATAATCATATTTTGAATTGAGGGTACTAATTCTGGATGTAATTGTTTTAATTTAGCTTGATCTATTTTTCCTGATTGAATATCTGCTTTATATAAATCTGCATATTTATCTACTAATAATTTTTGTTCTTGCTCTAAAGTACTATTATTT